GCATGATAACTATAACATTCCTCATTTTAAGCAATCATTATAATCATTTTGATTTTCCTTTGTTTATACATCCGCTGTCAGACGACTGCTCTAGGGACTTCATTCCTGTCATAAATTTCTTTTAATTAACCCGTCGGTGTTTGCTGTTTCCGGCTGATATGTACGGAGCGAGCATTGTCGTAATCCAGGCTCCTTACAGCGCGTTAGCGGAGGACTGTTAGTCTGTAATTGACAAGTACTGATAACAAGTGGGTGAGAAGAAAAACGTTGACACTAAAAATTAAGACACTTTTCACAAGTTCTTCACTAGAGTAGAGTATTTACCAAATCGCATGCAAGGTCGCTGCACTATACTCGGCATATGAGCACAAAAACAAATCGCTAAATCAGAAATTGAAGGAACGATTCGCAGTACCAACTTGGAAGGGAGGGATTTATGGTGAGGTATTGATTGAATCAATAAGCAGAGGTTCATATGAGTCAAACAACCACTGTTCTCCATGTAGACAGTACTTTTGTTGGTCGGCAGTCCGTCCGTGGCCGATCGATCTGGTCCACTGGTCCTCTGCTTCCAGGCCCAAATTTCGTGCGCCATCCCCTGTCCTACGTCCTTAACTAGTGGACTTCCACTTTTCGCGTGCGTATGAGAACTCTCAAAAACGGCAAGTTAGACTTCTCATGACCAGATAACTGAACAGGGACGAAAGTTCCTTGCCAAATTCAAGCCAGCAAAAATCTCAACTACCCTTCCACCGTTGACTGTCAGCAAGTCTTAGTTCGTTACCGAGTATCGAATTTTTCGAATAGCAGAAGACTGATCAAAGAAGAGAGACTGAACTGGGTCTTGATCGGGGAGTAAAATAAACGGAGTCGGCCAGTTCATCATAAACGGCAGCCCGTGAAATGACGTCAGTGCAGAAGGGGAATGATTAACATTGCATCGGATGTCCCAGATCGCACTCCTTTTCATGGAACTGAGAATTTCGCCAAGCATGGTGCATGGATGAGTAGTTGCTCACTGTCGTCTGGATGAACTGATCGTTGGGTTGCGGGTTACAGAATCAGCACCATTTCTCACTAGACCAGACCGACAGAGAGATCAGCGACTACGTACTCCATCACTGATGGAGATTAACTCAGCGAATTAGGCATCTAAATGTTGTGGAAGCTTCCCTGAATGTGGAAAATGAGTGATAGTCCTCCTCAAAAGAGCAATTTTACGGATTTTTGTATCCCCATTTAACTTAGTACAGACTGGAATTGCGTTCGTGGGAAATAAATGACGACATTTAACCGAACGAACTGAACGCGCGAAAGGAAGAAATAGAAATTTGGCATCGAGAGTGGTCAAAACGCCTCAACGTAATAAGCGGATTGAAAGCACAGCAGGTCAAAATCTTAAACAGTCCTGTTTATAATCAGCAAAACTACACAGGACCAGGGCATGTGACCCCACAACATTGGTCCGTCAAATTTTCGAGTCCCGAGGTTAAAACATTTTGGTAGGGAAAGCGCTGGACGGATTCCATTTTCTCCAGCTTATCGGCGCCCAGGACAGTTAATAAGGACGAACGGTATTTCAAGCCAGGTCTGAAGTATACTTCATCAAGGCAAGTTCTATTCTCGTTAGTTTTAACTGTTCGTAGGATACACCCATTCTTTCTGCGTGCTTTGGAGACAATCATGGCGAAGAGTTCTGAAGTACTGAAATACTGATGACACATAACTCCATCTTTGATGAAGATCTGGAAGATTTGCGAAACCGCTGGGGAGTGTTAGCTGGCTAGAATTCGTCAATGACGCAAAGCGGCAGTGTTTGGGGATAGGTAGGACGTTTGATCCCTTTCACAAGCTGAGATAGGTTTCTTTTTGGGAATAAAATCATATATCTCACACATGAGGGACAGAAAAATCTCATTTTCGTCCACCTTCAGAATGCTTACCTGGACACTATCAGGTCAAGAGCTATGGCACGGATGAAGATATAAAACGGCTACGGCCCAGGTGGTGAAAATTAAAGTTTCTAGAACGGCCACAGTCCAAACATGGATGTTCGGGAGGGGGGTGGCCGGATTTTTAATAAATAATATGAAGCTTGACTTGCATCCCTTGCGAAAACAACGGAAGCCCTTGTAACGTGTGCCATAGTACAATAACATGACAAAAATGGCATTTTACAAAATTTTCAGCGTGGTTTTCGAGGGGAACTCCGCTGCCCATAGAATCTGCTGACGTCTCTGGTGGTTTGAGCAAATGCTTTGGAAAAAGATTCCAAAGTTAATTTAACGTGCGTCGCCATTCGCAAAGCCTTCAGCTCTATCCCACGTCAACACCTTTTTGCAGAAAATGATTACTTTGATCATCAGGGAAGGCTTCTTAACTAGATGGCGTCATTTCTGATTAGTCGAATGCAATGCGTTTGTATCGGGGAAGATAAATCAGAACTGATGATCGCAATTAATGTTTTTCATCATGAGCCAGCTTTTGGGTCCTTCCTCTTTATTTCCCATGTTTATGATAAAATTCAGGAACTTGATTGTGGTAAGACCATGCTGACCACTGGCATCGAGCTCTATCAAGTGCCGGGATACCCAAAAATCCTTCAATATAACTGGCACCGATTGCGGAGCTGGTCTGCGCGATATTTGCTGAAATCTAGTGGAAAAACGTGTGTCGTCCCCCATCTGCATCTAACCAACAGCCGTCCGAATGAGGGTATGAGGACATATTATCTAAAACGCATTCAACTTCCCATGGAATCCTTGCAGAATGATCGCAGTTGCTGCTCCCAGAACAATCCGAAACGGCCATTGCAATGCGTTAGAATAACAGAAAGAGTAATGGCTGCTCTCCGCTATTAAAAGGACGCTTGTAACTTTTGACGAATATTTCTCTGATAAAGACTATGACACTTTCGTTCTCCCTCACCTATTACATGACATACAAGCGTACCGAACGTGGCTGACAAACACAATTCAGTCTCGAGAATGTCCAATGTCGGGTGACAAAGCTGGTAAAATTTCGAGAATGCTGACTTATCAGGGAAGGCTTGAGAACATTGTCTTAATGGCAGCAGATAGGCAGTCATATCTTAGTCTACATGATAATACATGGCCCTGGGCAAGGGTCGTCCTTTGCGGACATTT